GTGAGGAGTTCGGAAGATGTTTTGATGGAGTCGATGTTGGGCACAGCCGGAAGATGCCACCAAGTTCGAGCCACGTGGATCACAGCTGATCACACCCTACAGAGTGTCCGACCCCAAGATCCAAACGTCTCTTTTAGCGCCTCATGATTGAGTAGTGCCCATGTATGACATGTATGACCAACTCCAGTAACATGAGGTCAGTTCCTGGCATAGCTGTACTGGTAGGTATAGGGATGGATGGTTTCGACGAAGTCGCCCAATGTCGTCATCACGGAAAATCAGCATGTGAACCTGTTTGTTTGGGGTATGAGTACCCACGTCGGCGTGGTTGAGTACCACTACCACACCGACCGTGCGAACGGGAGACCTTCCCCACCTTGGTCTTCCGGATTCCGAGTGTGTAGCAGCTTCTCCCAGGTACAAGCAATTCGTCGACAAGGCCGGGTCCCGGGTCCCCCCCGGGCCGAACAGCCGAGAGGTCTCTCCTCCTGAACAGCCAAGGGAAAGCGTCACGCCGGCACCATAGTCAGATCAAGTCACTTTCCTGGGCATTTCAACATGCAAGGAGCACAAGGATCACCTGGTCACATGAACAAGTGAATAGCTGATTATAAGACGATTTAAGATGTATACATGGTATGATTGTATGATCTATTCCGCCTCCCCGGCCTCCGCCTCACTTTGTAGACCCGGTGATATTCAAGATCGCTCGAGATGGAATCCGATTAGTCGCTTCTGTTGCCATTGTTTCGTCCAATGGCGGGAGCGATGCGGTCGGTCCTTGACCATATCTTCACCTATACCCAGTTCAGCGGATCCACCTGCCAGAGCTGTACTTCAGGGATTTTCCCCACTAAAAACAATGAACAGGATGAACCTGGATGTTCCGTGGACACTGATCTGTCTAAAAGTGATGCTTATTTGGTGATTCAATTTCGGCAATGTGACGATGTTTCGTGTTTTTTTTCAGGGCCAGGAGTCCTATGAAGTCGGGTATGGGACAGGACACATTCTGACCACACATATACGTATACTGTAATGACCTTTGCTCTGGGGTAATTACTAAGTAGGCCAGTTCCTGTGCCCCATTTTTGCAGGCCCTTTTGGTGGTCTAAAGTTACAAGCTCCGTGCTCCTTGGAAACGTGCGGTCGCTGAATTTGCGACCCCCAAAAAAGCACCCTACCATGTCATCAGGGCGGTTTTAAGGCTCTTCCATACGTTTTTTCGTCGGAGTTTTCAGGTACGGTCTCCTTTGTTTTTTCATGCAAAGATTGGCATCTACAGAGGTGTTTGGATGGAAGCCTAGTATGGTTGTGAATGGAAGTCATCCGGATGCCGGGCAGCGTGACCCGTCCCGTCGCTGTGGGTGCACACCCGGCAATCGATTGGAAGATTGGACAGGAATTGCTGTCCTTCTACAACCCAGACATTTCATGTATGCCGTATATGCCTACATTATCCTACATTGGGGTGTTTTTGGAGGTCAATGTAGGCATATATCTCATACATGGAGTATATGGGTAATACTACTATAACTTTTCATGGATTGTTTATGGATCCTAGCACTTCCAACGGGTGCCCATTGGAGACCTTTAAGTAGGGTAGGGCGAACTATTGGACACCCATTGGATGACCCTGGTATGGATTGTTTCTTTTGCAAAACTTGAACATGTGAACGTAATCTTAACGCCATTGGAATGTAATTTGAAAAGCAATTCGGAGATGGTTTATGGAAAGGTGAAAAACCATGCAGGCATCCAAGAAGGACATAGACATCCGATCTGGTTTCTGAATATACTTGACGAACGCTTTCAAAAAGACAACTGGGTTTGGACCACAGGTGTTTTCAAGGGGTGCCGCAGGATAGATCCATGGATGTACAGTGCAGTCGGCGTTCTTTTGGAAAAGAATCAGTAACATCTCGGGACGCGGGATGGCCCCCTCCAAAAAAGTTTATCCAATAACATCCAATAAGCATGATATAGATCAATAGATCCATCCACCATCCAATTCATCCCCTACCCCAGTTCGACTGGGGGGAGTTAGCTCGCTGGACACCTTCCACGTCCCGAGCAGCTTCGAGCTGAGCGCAGGTCCGCAAGTTCCAGGAGAGGATGAACACCATCGGCCGGAAGGCACGACGGACCCGGCACCGGGGACAGCGCGATGCCAGGGCGATGCCGAGCGGTTGGTGCGGGATGGAGCCGCGACCAACTGGCTGTGCCATGGCGGTCAAAACGACCTAGTCGTCTTGACCTTCGAGATAGGCCAACCAATGACCAATGCATCCTGGTTTTGACCCACAGCCAAATGGGGATGGTACGGCGGTTTTTGTTTTTTTCGTGCGAGCAGTCGGTGCAGTTGATCTCTTCGTCGACTTGCCTGGATCCAGTGGGATATATACTAGGCTTCCAACCACCATTAATAGGCTTGACCGAACCACCATTGTTTTGCTAAGGGTTTTATACACTACAAAACCAGATCAACATAGATCAACCATTGTTTTAATGGTCTTGGAGGTCTAGGGCGTGGTTAATGGACACCCTTTAACAGCTAAGGGGCTATTAATAGACACCCCTTGGAGGGTCCTGGTATGTATTATAGAAGTCGGACTATTTGGGGCACCGTCGGACGTAAAGGAAATTCTCCGATTTCACAGTCTCCGAGTCAGATCCTTTTAAAATCCTAGACGTCTGGGACTTTGAGGGTTTTGGTCTATACCATCCTGTGAAGTGCTACCTCAGAGCCTCAGAGGCTCGTAGTCTCGGAGGTCCTGGCTGAGGTCCAAGATGGAGATGTGGGGACATGGGACTATTGATCACTGATGTGGGGACATGGTCCCATTCCACCCACTTTCCGAAATCATCCGCTTGGCTTCCATGGATGATGAAGTGTCAGCGGTTCTTCCTCAATAGGTGAAGCCTCACCTGGCAGTGATCATGAACGAAGTCTTGCCTGGGGCCTCACAGGGCGCGCGTGCAGAGGGCTTGCCTCTTGTGCACATGTTTAAAAAAAACAATGGTGCATCGCCCTGTTCGTAGCCACGCTGCGGACGTGCTTGAGCAGGGTGGACCTGGGATGTCTTGGTGCGGATGGGCTTTAGCAGGGTGGATGAAACTGCAGGACATTCTTGAACAAGGGTGCCGGATTTGGTGGCCTGAAAAGCCCGGTCACACTGCAACTACACTCCTTGGAACGATGGACCCCGAAAGAAAGACTGCGAATACCAACAGGGGTGAACTCCACTTCCATAATGGTTGCAGGAAGAGTATTAGGCCTTTTCTGCGCAAGGTGAAGATTGGCAGATGCCTTGTCCCAACCAATTCCTTGGGGATGGTCATCTATGGGTCGTTGGCGCCCCAATCCTGATATATGTTGACTCATCCCAACACTTTCCCCAGAACATCTACAAACATAAACCTATAGATCTCTATAGTAGAAAAGATCCTTTCTGAGGAAAAAAGAAACACTCCATAGACCTGTCCCTGGTGGCTGACCTTCCAGGAATCGCATCTACCGGGAGCTGCCTCCAGTGACGCCTGAGATCATCGAGCGTTTCTGGGCGACCGAACGTTCCGTTTCGGGGCGAGCTCCATGGGACGGTCCACCCAGGGTGGCCACCGATCGTGGGTCTTTGGATGGATGGGATGTCTTGGGGCATCCGATGTCTTGGGGGGACCCCATTTCTTCCGTCATTCTATTTCGGTACCAGGAAATGTGATGAGAATAGGGACGTGCTAAGGCTAGGTCTTGTTTGGCCAAAGCTAATTACGCGTGTCGATGTGTGTTTGCGTGTGTGTTTTATCTATTTTTTTGCGAGATTTGAGGATACACATTTGGACTCCCTTGATATGTTGACATGTTCTAGAAGTCCAGGTTCAGCATGGTTCAGCCTCAATACCCCCGGGGGGAAAGATTTGGATGTGAGTTGTGATGGTCCCAATTTGACCGGACCGGACTCTGGGTGCTTCTGATTTTTGCGAAGCAGTTTCTCGCTTCCCAACTTCGCTGACTACCCCAAAGGTTTGAGACCCTGAAGATCTATATAATCAGGTGGGCCCAGGTGGACAGGACCGAGGTCGTCTATTTGTCAGGCATGAACATGTCCTCGGTCATCCCTGGTGGTTGCTCACCAGTCCCAGGTCTTTATATAGAGTGACAGAGGGACAGTTCATTTGGACAATCCCTGAAGACCAAATGAAACATGGACAACAATCGATAGATGCTTGGGGGGACAGTCCATGTAATGATCTCCTCGTTTGCGTTGATGGTTGAAACATGCTGACACATTGATCGATCGTCAATAGATGATATTGCATGCACGTCGACTAAATCGATGTTCTACCACGTTCCGTTGCGTAGCCCTCCTGTTCCGGATGAGCAGTGGATTAAGCCACGGGTGAAGTAGTTAAACATAGTTAAACCATGTTAAACCACATAACGTACGATGGGAGGAGCCGAAGTCAAGTGGGTTTGTTCGGGTGCCATGTCAATCCTGCTTGGACTTGCGACGCTGCAGCTGTTTTCAGCCACTTCTAGAAGCAAACTAACAAGATCATACAAGACATAAAAACAGAGTGTGACGACGCCCAGTTGAGTGGAGCCAGACTAATTGAAGAGAAGATCCCAAATCTTGAGTAGGATCCTGGATCATCCTGAGAAGATCCATCCAGGACATCCGCTTCTGGGATGATAATCATGTTATGTTCAGTGTTGTGAGACATAGAAGTCCATAAAACGCAAGCAGAAGCTCAGAAGCCACTTGCCATCCTCAGCCACTCCCCAGAAAACACTTTCTTTTCCATCTTCGCCCCTTCCAAGCCATATCAAGGATGCAGAAGTGGCTCAGGCTTTTGCTTTCGGTGGCAACCCTCAAGCCAAGCCAGCCTCCCACCTCAGCCTCCATCCGCCTCAGCCTCCGATCCGACCCCGCTCTGTCCGCGCCCTCTCCGCTCTTCGCCAGATTGGCAAGTTGGGTTTTGACATGTTGGTTTCGCCCCATCTGGCAGACCATTCTTTCTGCCCTGCCGATTTCCACTCTCTCCCAACCTTCTCCCCAACCTTCCAAACGATGCCATGAGATGCTTGGGGTCCGGCGCCTGGGCGCGGGTGCTGTGTCTCCTGCTGGCAGCCTTGGCCTCCTATGCGGTCTTCACCACTTGGACGCGCGAAAAAAAAGAAAAACCGCGCAAGTCCAAGGGCAAGACCACGGGCAGTGTGAGCACCACGACGGCAGGGTCCACCACGACGACCGGTGAGCCTGAAGAGGACGGATGGGCTTGTGTTGACTGGATTGATAGATGCTACTGCTATATCAGATTGTACCTCAAAGATCTCAAAGTAAAGCAGTTCGGATCAAGAGGAAGTTGGGCATGTCGGGAAGTCTATGTTATGTCAGCATATGTCACACAGCAAATGGCATTCCAGAATCACGAGCAGTTTTCCGGAGACTTGTTCTAGCAAATGAAATATTGGGTCCTCCACTACAGACATTGCATGGTTTACTGTAACTATGATTAAACGACAAGTTCCAGCACCACCCAAAGGGTGGTTTACAGACCCCCGTGAAGATGAATTTTCGATCTATCCACCAACCTGAGGGTGGTGCTGGTTCACAAATGTTTGTTCCAAGAGCCATCCAGCACCAATGGTCTCCCCATGTCTCGCTAGGACTTGACGGAGGCAGGGCCAGAAGTGTTGGAAGGGGAGGACTTCGCTGCCAGCGACTTGGACTTCGAGGTGCAGCCCTTACCTCGAAAAAGACAAGCAGAGGTGGATTTTCATGACGCCTGGCAGCCAGGGCTCCGCCAGTGGCTCAGCCAGTCTTTTTCTACTTGGGCGCCGGCATGGTGGCCGTGCTGGTTGGTTGTTACTGTTGACGTTGACCACTTGGAGATTTGAGGAATGCCCGAAGATGTCGGAGATGTGATGGCACAGTGATGGTGAGTGACGTCCGGCAGGTCGGACCGAACCCCAAACCGACCCAGTCGGTTGATATTCGGAAAAGGGTCTTCCACGGTCAATTCTTAGGTTCCATATTATAATTGTGTGTGTGTGTTTGAATACGGAGACCAAGCTCCCGAACACCTGGGCACGCGTTTTGCGTCCTCCCCATGTCCTCCCCGCGTCCCTTCTCTTTCTCGGAATCCGTGAAAGATCTACTCCAGGAAGTTGGACCTGAGTGCACACAACACCTGAACAACGAAGATCAGATGTTGGGGTCGGGCCCAAACCATCGAAGCTTCTGAAGCAAGCTTAGAGGGCCACAGGATGCCACACAGGCCGACACGTGTCGGCCCATGTCGGCCCTCGGTCGTCAATAGTCAGGCACTCTATGGGACGGGGGTCGATGTATGATAATGTATGTCAATATGCCAGTCCCATGGAGAGTCTGGGTGGATCAGCCCAGGGATGAGGAGAGAACATAGTGGCCCTACTAGGGTCTGGAATGGGTGAGCCTGGTCTGACCCTGGGGTCTAAAAATGCCTAAAAATGCATCCACAGAGGGTCCCACTAAGTCGTTGAGAGAGATGGATGAGGGGCTGATCAATCAGAGCCAGCGATGACGGTGTCCGGTGATCAACGCGTTGGTGTAGGTCGATTCCTTCCGGGTGAGCAGACAGTTGTAGCAGCGGTCTAACCGCTACAGAACATTTTGGTGGGACAACGTGTCACTATGTCACTATGTGTTACTTCAAAGGAGGCTAAGGATTGTTTGGATGGTACATCATTATGGCACTCCACACTTGGGGAGCCATCCACGGCGTATGTTCTTACTAGGATAGTCACTGGAAAGCCATCCAGGGTGTCTCCTCAGGAGCGGGTCTTGCCGCTTCAGTTCGATTTCCAGCTCTGCGATGGACTGGCGGATCAACGCTTTCAACTCATCGATGGCTTGCTCGCAGGCGACACATGGGGTTGAGAACGCCGGGCATGTCCTGCAGTGGTCCTTTATTTGATGCGCCCTGAGACCTCTGAATATCTTTGAATTGCAAGGAATGATGTACAGAAATTGCCACAGATGGAATCCATATGAATCCAGTCAAGTCTGACAGAGATGGAATTATATTATTTAAATTTATATATAATCCATGTTCCAGTGTACCAGGATCACATAGGATCACTTGTTCTGGTATCGAAGCATTGTCACTCCCACCACTGGCATCGAGCTCAGCCTGGCATCGAAGCTTCACCAAGCCCAGCTCATCCGTGTCGGTGACACGGACATATGGAAGGAAGAAAATACACCCAAACCGTATGGTTAATGGTTGGGGGTCTCCATATTTAAATACACACCCCTATAATCCCTTATAGAATCTAGCCAGTGCTGAGGGGATCGGATGGCTGCCAAGGAAAATCGTGTAGCCTTGGGCCGGGGGGTGGTGTGGCTCGTCCCATCCAGTGAGTGGATGTGACAGGGGCAGCCCTATCCTCCAAGTTCGGCACTTAGAGCTCTGAGCTCTGTGACTGCTGGTAGACAGTCAGAGTTCTTGAGCTGGAGGGAGTTCTACCCTCCAGCCCAGCCCACGAGCTGGGACCTCACCAAGCTCCGCTCCCGTGCGAGGTTCCCGGGTTTCTCGGAGGGGTGGAAAACTCTTCCAGAGCTCCCAGCCGTCTTCCGTTTCAGCCGGTCCATCCTCCGTTTCAGCCGGTCCATCCTCCGTTTCAGCCTGTCCATCCTCTGTTTCAGCCGGTCCATCCTCCGGTGCTGCGAGGTCTGTTTCTGGGAGCCCAAGTGAGCCTGCCCCGAGAGATCACGTTGAACGGCGCGCACGATGGCACCTCGCGCGCCTGGCCCTCAAGCAAGCCCTTGTGGCGAATCTTTAACATGGATCCTCGGTCTTCTTTAGTTATATGTCTCCTAAATGTTCTTACAATGTGGACTTCTTGATGATATTTCAACCCCCTCTAAGAGGTTTTTCCAATCCAAGTGAGGGCGGTTGATGAATCCAAGGGTCTAGGGCTGATGAGGCCTGGCCTTTGGTGGGCGGTTCATCCGGAGCGACACGGAGCGACGAGATGACAACAAAGCCGTTAGCGGATGAGTGTGTTTCCAGTGACTGTGTAGCCTTTCCTCTACAGATTCGGCATGGCTCCCAGAGGTCTCCAAGAGGTCTGTTTGCGGTTCAGTGTCCTGAAGGTGGGTGGAACGATTGAACCACATTTAGGAGATTTGTTGATGTGTGGTTTTTCTAGTGTAGATGGCACAGACACGGGGATGTATATTTACCACCTCTTGGGGTCTGTGCCATCTACTCTCAATCCACTATATATCGTCATTTCAGGGAGATTTAAGGTCAGATTTTTGGCTCGGCACCCACGAATCCAAGATCACCTGACCCCAAAGAACATTATGAGCGTGTTCCGCAGAACAGCGAACGCCAGGAGGGCATGACTTTCACAAGGTGGGTGAAACTTTTTTCAAGGGCCCCCTGCCCCCTCTATCACCTCCCTCTCCGTGTCCCACCCGATTCCAAATTAAATGTTCAGTCCACACCTCTGGCGTTTCTCCGGCGACCGCTTCCCTTCCGCGTCGAGGATCGGCTGCAGAGGGAACTGCAGGAGTTGTACTCCTCGGTCTGGTGTCGTCGGCCGCTTGGTGGCGAAGAAGAACCAAGAACCCACTTCTATCAACTTCGTGACCTTCAAAGAAGGTTCCCAATTAAGTGACTCTTATATAGGAGGCTTGTCAGTTTTCCCGAACCAACCAGGTGATCAAGTGACCGGTCACGAACTGGAGAACGTGACGTCGACGAAGTGGATCCCCGAGAACGGAGCACGGTGACCGTTCGGATCCCCACGCAGAACGTGTCGTTCGGGACATGGTGACAGAGAAGTCATCTATTTGGGGATCACTATAATAAGGGGTTCCAACCAAGAATAGAATGATATATATCCCTCCCTCCAACAAAACATGGTGTAACGCCCACTGATGGGAACATCATTTATCTCATATATGTTCTATAAGCAGTTCAAGACTCACACCGGGCAATACAAAAATTCATTTAGTATACTGTACCCATACACGACCCATAGGACTGCCGCCTACATTGACCGCCCTGGCACCACCCCAATTGATCGGCATGGAGCATCTGGGGTAGGTAGACCATGGATCCACCAAACCCCAAACGAAACGAACTCATTGTACTCCCAACTGTCCAGTGGTGGAAACCTGACGTTCGCCGCAGGTCCATTAGACCACAGACAGCAGCTCTTGCTGCGCTGCATATTGATCCGTCCTTGCCGAGGACCGATCACAGGGCGCATGAGCTCTGGTGTGGCAACATGTCCTTCCCGGCCATCGTCTACAACGACACCGGCTTCCGGTCTGGCGCGGGACGCCGCTCGGACCGGCGCGGGAAATTCGCGCTGAGCGGGCCGACGCTGCGGACGGTCGACCTGGAAGCCAGGAATTGGAAGGATGAGGAGAGGAAGGTTCGGGTCGGGACCTCGGTGACCGATGCTGGCAGGACGATGTTTTTCATTGTGTTTCATGTCTTTCATTTTTTTTTTGTGTGTGTTGTTCTTTTTTTTGTAAACTCCAGTCCGTTCATAGATAATCTATAACTATATCATATCATACTACATCGATGTTGTAATTCCATAATTGCTGGATGGGTTAGAGACAGGTATATTTGAGTATTAGTGCATGTGTGAGCCAAGACTCGCAAGACTCGCAAGACTGGCAATTGCGCTTTGAGTACTGCACTAGACATTTTGTCTGACCTTCCAGTATTTCGGGTTCATCACGACTTCCAACGTCTTCCAACTCATTCAAATCCGAGCCGGGCCAGAGCAAAAAGATTCGGGCTAGTCTCAGCATGCTGATCTATGTTTGCAGGCGAATCTCCATGATAGTCCTACTCTTAGCGGCTCTTGCGTTGGGCTTCGGTCACCAAAACGAGAACACACTTCGACATACATCTAGAGTATAGTTGTGCACAAGGGCAATGAATTCTTGATGTATAGCAGTTTTGACAAACATACTTCCGTAGAGCGTTTGCATGGTGTTTTAACATAAAGCGGGTGACTTTTCGCAAGCCGGGTGACTTTTGACAAATGCTGCGTTTACATGCGGCCGGGTGACTTTCTGCAAACCCGGGTGACTAAACCCCGGCGCTTGTAGCCATGTTCACACAGACGTCTAGTGCAACTTTCTGAACACTTCTTGTTACTGAATTTTGATAAGAACACCCTAGACCCTAAACATCCCTAAACCCTCCATGCACACCAAGCTGCAGAAACCTTAACTCCTTCTAGTGAGACTTGTGGAAGATGTACACATTTTGGCGATTTTGAGCGCTTATGTTCAACCTTTTTCCGTCCCAGTCGCACCTCCCAGTCGCCTTAGCTCCTGCACTCGACCAGGAGCTGATGACCGTCGGCGAGCAGAGCTGGATTCGTATCGCCAGCATCGATGCCCAATGGCAGAAGGCGCCGGAGCACATCGTGAGAATGAAACGACAGCCTTGTGACTTCCCATACAAGAGCCATGACAGCAGTTGACCGACTCGGTTTCCGGGTTTGGTGCGAAGGGCAATGAAACAGTTGGTGTGCTTATGATGTTTCTTTTGTTACAGCTGTATATGGCCAGGTTTTCTTGGTTGGACGTGGTGAATGTGTATTCTGTTTTGCTTGGACGTGGTGTAATATATAATGTAGACAGTAGTAAACAATGGCCAGGTTAAGCTATTTGTGATGATGTCCATTTAAACATACATCCGGTACATTCCCCCTTATTTGTGGGAACAAGAATCGGGTGAACGGTGGCTGCCCAAAAGTGATCAGGCAGGAAGCCTCCTCACTCTTCAGGAGATGTGGCAGATCCACCGATAGCTAACAGTACTGTAACACAACCGGTTTTTGAGGGGGTCGCTGTGGGTGGAAGATCTTCCACCCAAAGCAGGTGTCGCTGTCAGAGTCGTTTTTCAACAGGAAGAGTTTCTCGACCACCGCAAATTTGATGGGTTTGGGACCCTCTCAAGGATGAATGTGGACTCTTCCAAGAAACACATCTACTAGGCTTACTGAACCCCTTTGACCCCGGATGGACGTGGTGTCACCCCAGACCTTTCGGCGGGAGAGTCTCGAAAAAGACTTGTTCAAAGACAAACCTCAGAACACTGCCATGACCCTGAACAACAACTCAGGATGAACGTGGTGGAAGGTGGTCCTTTTTGGCCGATCTACTGGAAGATCGACGCCGCACTCAGCTTCAGCTGGCAGATCCTGGACGCGGCCGATGCGGTGGCGCGACGGATGATGCATGCCTTTGGGCACGTGGCGCAGAAGAGCCGAGACCGCCGTAGATTGGGGAGGCGACCGGCATAGATGGGTGTGCAACCGTGTAACCTCCCAAAACGGACATCTGAAGAGCCCAAGAGGTCTCCGTATAGGAGTACAAATATACACACCCATGTGGTTTTTTTGGGGCATCTCTGGATTTGACCATGCATGTCTATTGCAACCTGTCCACCAGAACTGGCTGCTTTTGATGGACGATCCAGGCATGTTGGGTACTTGGAAGATCCAGGTATGGCACGCCGTGTTGCCTTCGTTGGAGAGACCGTCAACCGTTTCTCAGTTTGTTTCCTTATGTGATCACCGGAAATTCCTGGTGATTTTAGTGAGGACACCGAGGCTCTAAGACTCTAAGGTCTGTTTTTCTTGCGACAATCAATTGATCCTTTGACATGTTGGACTAATTTCAGTGAGCCAAAAGCAGCTTGGTTCTTCACATGATCGCGTGTGTGACGGGTTGAATGCTGACATTTGAACTGGTTGAGCAGTGCTGCAGCAAGATCTTCTCTGAAACATCACCTTGTGGGAAGGTGAAGCACTGTTTGAACCATATATGGTGGTCCCCAAATAGATAGTGGCACGGAAGTTGGCACGGTTTTCAAAACCTTTTCAGTGAAGATCTACGAACTTCATCGAACTTATCTATTTGGAGGTCTATATATGGTACGGATTGGTACGGTATACATGTCCTGAGCCGTGACCCAGGTTCGCCATTACAGGTTGCTTCTGGTAGCAGCCTCCAAAGGTACTCAAGAGTCCTCAAGTGCCTGGAAGTCAGATGAACTCAGGGTATCTCAGGGTTACCTGGATATGTTTTACAATGTTTCCAAAAACCTGGCTCATGATCAGGATTTGGTTGCATCCTCGAAAGGCCACCCAAATTAAAGAACTAGATATCACCGCTTCAACACATCACCTGGTGCTGGCCCTGGCCATGATCAACTGTTTGATCGCTCATGTTCTGGCCCTGGCCATTCCAGGAAAGCTTCTCAAATGGGACACCCTCTCGAAGAGAGCGGCAAACTCTTGAGCGGCTTCAACATGGTGCATTTGCGAGTCCCTCGAGAGAGAGACAGAGCGCGTGTTGTTCTTTTCAATTTATGTTCATTGCTTGGTCCTCCATGTAAATAAAGGGTTTTCGTGGTGGTTATATTACTGTAACTGGAACAGAATAAACAGAGGGGAAGATGAGGCCTATTGGCTATACGTAGTACTGCTGAAAAGAACAAAACAAGGGGGAAGAACCGTGGCCTGGTCTGAGAACGCCTAGGTCGAGAAGGATTGGCCAGCTTCGTGCGCGCGCTGGAGCCAGCATTCCTTAAGGATCGACAACTGTACCTTGGATTCGCGGCCGGCGCTTCAAGGATTCGCTTCGCCATTTCTTCAGGCTTTCTGGGAAAACATGGGAAAGCCTCCTAGGATTGGCCAATCCATGGATAAATGGATGTGATTTGATTTCTTGGGTTCAACACTGAACGGCCAATGCTTAACTATTTTTCTTTTTTGTTGCATAGGCTTTGAAGTCTCGGGATCGGAAGCAGGTGCTTGCTTTGCAGGCCGATATCGGAACAAAGACACTTGTGGGCTGGACAGCAACGCACAAGTACACGGCATGGGGTTTTACGATGTTTCTATTTTTTTCCACTACCGGTGTTGGCTAGCTGAGTTGGAGGCGTTGAATTAGAACTTGGCCAGCTATATAATGTGTCTTCAAATGCCCAGGTATGAGCAACACCTTCCAGATCGGCAATGTCTTGCTGCTGGAAGGTGTGAATCCGGCTTTGCCGGTGTATCTGGTCACGGAGCTCTCAGCAGAAAAGATGCAAGAGCTGAAGAAGGACCAGAACTTTACGAACTTCTTCCAGGTCTATACAGTGGTGACCAAGGATATGTTTAGTGACCTGGGAAGTTTCAAGAAGTTGTTGTTTAGAGTCTATGTTGTATGTCATGAATTTGTCGTTTTGCGTTGAAGGCAATTGTTGTTGTATGTGGTACAGTTCTTTTTAGTGTTAGAAAACCATTGGTGGTGGTTTGTTTGGACCTCCCCGCTCATCCGGGGAATCCCCGCTGTTGGGAGACAAATCCCAGGCGACTTAGATGTGGCGTTTGATGATTGGCCTGCAATCGACTACTCGTTGGCGCAGCAGGCCGATTTGTTCGTGGGGAACTCACTGAGCACCTTTGCATCGTTGATGCTTCAGTATCGGAACTGGCATGGGCTGCCGGGCTTCCACTACAATGGAGGCACCTTTCCATTGGAAGATCCTTGGACTCTAGAGTCACCACCCAGCAGTCCTGCTCCACAGTTGGCTTTAGTGAAGGTAGACCAAGCATTAGGCAAATCCAAGACCCATCATATAATGTTGACCTCTGATTAATAAACGGGTGGCAAATCTCTTGAATTCTGGGTTTACCCTAATTAAAGTTCATCCCAGGTTCCAAGAACAAATTTAAATTAGAAATGAAATGATCCCTTACTAAAACGAATATTAAAGTGAAAAGGCATAATTACAACAAAACAATTAGAAATGACATGCCCCATAAATGAAAGTGCATTGTATTCAAATCAGAATTGAATTTGAATTGAATTAGAATTGAATTACATATATATACTTCTAAAGTTATTTCAATTTGAACTGAATTAGAATTGAATTGGAATTGAATTAGAATTGAATCATAATTAAAAATATAATTGATTTGAAACTGAACTAGAGTTGAATTAGAATTGAACTGGAATTGAATTGGAAAATTGAATTACTGTAGAATTGAACTAGAAGTGAATTTGAATTGAATTAGAATTAGGGTTTGGTGGCTTCAGGAAAATTCATTAGCTCTATTTAGGGTAAACTTTATTCAGGGCTTGGTGGCTTCAAGGGGAGAACCCTTTCCAGAGTAGTTTAATCAGGTTTCAATGGTTTGTTAATAAGGGATTCATTTAAACAAAATGTTGTCAGAAGGCTTTGCGGTTTGATGATATAAAGTTGCGAGACGAAGAGGAATTAATAAAGAAGGAGTCCAAAGAAGCAATATGTTGACAAAGCAATGAAAGGATCTAAAAACTAACTCAACAAGTTTCTTTTCAGCGAGCCACATTGTTTAGCTTTACTTAGGGTACACTTTATTTAGGGTGTGGTGGCATCTGGAAAATGTCTTAGCTCTATTTAGAGTACGCTTGATTTAAGGTTAATTTTGTTCTTGTTATTTTTAAACTTGATTTTTTTTTTTTTTTTTTTAAACAGATATTTATATTGTTATGTGTGTGTAATGTTTTTTGTTTGTTTTTGTTTTTTTAAATGAAAACGTGCTAACTTTATTTAGGGGTGGTTTACTAATCAGGGCAGAACTGTGCTATATAACTTTATTTTGGATTCCTTTATTCATCATAGGTCAACATCAGTTCTTTCGGGAGCCCACCCAAAGACCAAACCATGTCAAGCCCTATATCGATTGCATGTTTTAAGCTGGAAGAAACTCATACCCCAAAGCGCAGCAAGTCTCTTGGCGGGGGAACGTTTTTGCTGTACTTTGAGACCCGAAGTTCGTTGAAGTTCCTTTGAGAAACAGTTTGAGTGACAATGTCAGGTACACTTGGTTCACTTGGCGGTTTTGGCTGTGGCCATCCAACGGTGTGGCGATACCGCGGTTTCTTCTTCTCACCTTCCGACCAAAAGAATCTCCGTCTATCATTCACAACAGACACACGTGGATCGGTGAACCAGTGAGCCCTGAAAGCATCGATCGGTCCATTCTTACTTATTCAAAGCCAGTCGTGTTCATTCTCCAGGCTTTGATATCCTCAGTGAACAGAATCCTCAGATATCCTCAGATAGCAGATCCCTAATATCCTAAGATATCCTCAGATATCCTCAGTCATCCACCCCAGGCAACAGTCGGACCGTCCAAGTCCACCGAAACGCGGATTCTACCGGATCCTCATGGCACCGACCTTCCCATGGTTTTTTGCGGATTCGACCTGCGACCTTCCAAGTAGTGGAGGGCAGTCAGCCTCCTTGGATGATCCTGTCCCCTGTCCCCATTTGTCCCTGTCCTCCTTCGTGATGTTGGCCTTCCATACTCGCCGCTTGACGATCTAATTCCGGCTTTGGGGAATGGAGACAACTTGAAGTGGTTTTATAAACAAAGAATCACACAGAAGCACTGGTGGCCAGGCTGGCTTTGAGAACAGGCTCAAAGCTACAGCACAAAACTACAGCTCACAAGCACAGCTCAATGGGAGCCGAGCCTTGCGGAAACCCGGACGGTTCCGCGTTGGAGGGGTACGCTGCCTTCAGTTCGACGGGTACGCTGCGGAAGTTCACAGTGACCCTCCAGGTGTTGCTGTGGTTTGCCACAAAGCGATTCCTTCGATTCCGTTTCGATTCCTTGATCAATCCACCGGACTGCAGCCGTTTCTTTGAAACAGGAAACCAAATAAACCAAACCCATAGGCTCTACCAGGGCCCCTGATCCATTAACCACCCCTTAGGGGCTCTGGTATATTTATGTATATTTATATAACCGGGATAAATTGGGATTTGCTGTAGTATGCTGTAGTAGATTGTAACAGGGGCACAATGAGGCGCCCAGTTCACCAATGAGATTTTCGGGATGTACACCAACCACAAGCAAGCGTTTAGACCATGTGCCCCATATATAGATGAACCATATAGAACCTTTATCCAATAAAGTGGTTTTCATGGGTATATGGGTGATCAACCCGCACGATCTCCATATCTCATCTACCCAACAAGGGACCCGGACCGACGCGTCCACCGATGCTCAACGCGAACCCGAGGACTTGAGCCTCTTGAAGCCACGCAGCCCGACGGCCACGGGGCCGGTGCGGGCGGCCATCGTTTGGGTCTTTACGCTGCCGTCCTACGTGAAGCGCTTCGACATCACCTACAACATGACCATGGTGGCCTTAAGGAGTCCTTCCAAAGAAGTGGTGCGGAGAGTCCGCAAAGTGTGCGTGTGTCGGGATGTCGGGTACGCTGTTTGGGTACGCTGTCTGGGTGTGTTATTATTTTTTGTTTTGCGCGGGGGGTGCTCAGATGTTTTTTTGGTCGATGACTAGGTAGGGGAAGGCGTTGGGAAAAGGCTGGTGAAGCAGTGTTTGTGGGAAGGAGGGGGGCTGAGGGATTGCACTTCTTCAAACACTCACACGTTACAACTATATAACGTGCATCAACGTGCAACTGCTGAATCAGCAACCCTTGGCCGCATCCTTTTCATCCTATCAATGTCGGAAGGCGAAGATGTTTAAATCGTTGGAAGATCCATGCAGGTTTGACAAGGATGGCATATCAGACATATATGCATGTCCGAGTCCCCAAGGGGTGGATTCATCATCGATTCCATTGGGTCTAAGATCCAATTTCCCTAGGGCTCCAACCACCTCCTGAGAAGATGGTTGGGGTGGGTTTGGGGGGTCTAACCATCTTCTGAGGATATGGTTGGAGCCCTAGGGTTTGTGGATGTTTATTCCTGAATCGATGATGACATTGGCCGGGTCCTGGTGGAGGGCGACGAGTCGCTCCTGAATCGTGTGGATTGCAAGGGAAGAAATCCCGATCCCACCACTTCGCTGTTCATGTTTCTTGTTCTGCCGAGTTCTGCCCAGAAAAAGATCTTGACAATTCTGAGCTTCCGGTGGAATGGCATAGAAAACAGCAAAGGGATCCCCCGTACATGAGGCTCTATGAAATGACAATCACTTTCCTCTATGAAATGGGTTTTGGACACCCATTTTATATAGAATATGTGGTTTCAGATTTACAGAATATATTTGAACATCACAGGACATCATTTTATAGAGGGCTGCTTGAGCAAGTATGTACTTCAGATGGGATTGTGTGCAAGGATGCAGGAAGGGCATTCTATAGAGCGAGCAGGGGGATCATATTGTTGTATGTTGTTAAGATCAAGATGTCAAGGGGTAGAACTTCATCTTATAGAGATTGTTTTTTGATTGTGATATGTTTTATATTTGTTTTCACATGCTGGCAATCATTTTATATAAATACATGCAAGGCTTGTCATTTTATAGACAACTTATCCCAGGCAACTCATTCTATAGACTCTAGACACAATTTGTCTATGAAATGTAATGTAAGACACCCAAGGGAACATGTACGGGGGATGCAAAGGGTGCCTTTATAAATATTTGATAGACTATGTCAGTCATGTAACTTCATTAATTCGCCCCTGGTTGATCCCCATGTTCGTCCAACTTCATGTCCCCACCCACCAAAGATTGCAGGAGTGCCAAAGCGCGAACCTCCTTGATTCCCGTTTGCATCACTACCGCGGAGCCTTTCGCGGACATGGCGGTGCTCCTCGTCTCGATGGGTGGCTCGGCTTTAGGACTCGCGCACGATCGCCGTGTGCAGCTGGGAGTGGCTGATTGGATTGGTCGGGCACGGCAAGAAATGCAGCAAGTCTCGCCTTTTCCCAAGTCTGGGTGGTGGTTTTTAAAGGTTTTAGATCGTTTTAGATGCTATACTGTGATGTTCAAGCGCCCTGAGGTGTCCGTGTGCTGTACCACACCCCGCTGTGGCAAGAGCGCGTTGCCGAGCTGGCCACAGACAGCGGCTTCTACAGCGAGCGGGACCTGGAGAAAGGCGCGGCCTTCCACTGACCGGCACAGAAAGGGCGCCATGGAGCACCCACGGAGGGTTTTGGGTGACCTGAACGAGGGACCCGGAACTACCCTTCTGGTTCCTTTGCTGGATCCTAGGCTCGGCGAAAGAAGGTGAAGTGACCCTGAAAAGGGATAGTCTATAGGGTTCTTCAACCTTTGCCGGCGTGGCGCTGGCGCAGCCGCGGTTTTGTAAGAGCGGCGACCCTGCAAGACTGCAAGACGACTTTCTGCAACGCACGACTGGTTTCGTCGTCCATGTGAGTTAGTCAGGATATAGTCATAGTCGGTAGAGTTTGCTTGGATGGGGGTCACCGGCAGATGTAAAGGTCTTTTTGGTGTGCATGTGTCAAAAGTTGCAGCTGGTGACTTGCAGGGGTCGGTTGTTGTTGGTAGCTCCTGGTAGGTGGATGTGGTGGAAAGTGGCGGAAGCCTTAAACATTTGGGGCCTTTTCTTCTACATGTTCCATCACGAGAGGCATCGCTTCAAGCCGGTGGTGAAGCGGAGGCTTTCAATCACGCCCAGTCTCCCGCAAGTCTCCCTTAAAGAAAGAAAGAGGAAGTGCGCCACCGAACTTCGAGAGGTCAAGATGAAGAATTCAGAGGTAACTTTCCGTTCATCTACCTGTAACAGACCTGTAACAACATCAGGGTTCCCGGGGGTAAGCCCGTTCATCGACCAGTATCCTGTAACAGGACCCGTCAACAAGCAAACCACGATTTTTGAGACGTCGGCCTGCAACCAGGCCCCATCATCATCCACTGGCAACCAGGTATTAGGATAGACCCAAAAGACTTCAATGAGAGTGGTGTTTTCTAAACCCACTTACAGTGGTGGAAAAGAGGTACGGGCATCCCAAGATGTCTTAGATAGATGAGGGTCTATATATAAACTACCGACATTGGGGGCCGTATTGTGCCATCTACTCTGAAACCAATGGTGCCATGAGTGGTCTATAGGGAATTCGGTCCAAAAAGGGGTTTTGAGACCATCTCAACTGTCGATGACGGTCGCGGCGATGAACCTGTACTTGAGAGAGTCGACATCGATCCGCAAGCAACAAAGAGCAGAAAACCGCTTGAGACGATGGGCAACGGGTTTCTCACGGTTATGTCATTTTCTCCTCTAACAGAGGTTGAAGGACACCAGTTCGACTATCCCGGTGATGCGTTTCCAGGCACTTGTTGCAGATCTTGTTGAGTGTGAGGCATCGATGCAGTGGTCTCCAAGCTTCTCGTGGTGGAACCTCGGCTAGGCTAGGCTGGCTGTGGGCTGCCGGGAACATATGATTCCCATTTAGCCTTTTAGCCCAAGAGCTCAGGGATAGCTATGGGAGTTCCCCCAAAAAAATGGCGCGTCACTCTGAAATCCAGACCCTGCAACTACCGGAGTCGAGTTCGCCTCTCCACTGTTGGACTCTACCTGTCTACCGTTCGCCCGGATGCAACGGATACCAGCGGTCCCATGACGATTCCGGTCGACGGGGGCGAGGTTTGTCGCAACCATCCGGTGACCCCTGTTGAGCAAGCATACCATGGACCCATGGACCCTGGCGTATGAAAATAGTAGTGACATAATGTTAGGATAAATAGGAATTAATAGGGGTCGGATTGAGATGATGTGAAGTTGGTGCATGACCGGACTACATCCGATTTGGCGAAGATGGATTAAGAAGTTAGCAATGGCAAGCCATGGTTTTGTCATGCTTCCAGGTTTGTCCTTTTGTAAGTTGTTGGATTGCCACCTCGTCTCTTGGCTGCAACTAGCCCTGCAACCAGCCCTCTACCCAGCTGTTCTCCGAAGTCGTCGGTCTCGGCCCCGCTCCCCGGGCCCCGCTAGGCCCCGCTCCCCGAATCGGCCCGCTCAGGACATGCCCACCATGGGATTTCGGGATCAGCTGGTGATGTACACGGACCTGGCTGCTTGGTGAAGCCGTAGAAGGAACCGTTTGTTCAACTGAAAACAAAGGAAGGTAGCGGGCCTTTGGGGTTTCACTGGTGTGTAATGGCTTCATGATGCTTCTTGTAGATGTCAGACTATAACACAATTCACAATACATATATATATATATAACAAGTTTTTGCTGGTCCATGACGAGCGCACAGCAGAAAAAATGTTCTGTGTTTCGGCTGTTTCGACAAAGTCTTACCTTGCACCCCTTTTTCTTTTCGTATCGCTCCTTCCCCAAAGTCATATCTTCACAATGCTTTACATTGTTCACCAACTCTTTAAATTGAGCTTTTCATCCCCGGGGGTTTGAGGTCAATTGGAACTCAAAGGTCACTTTGAAGAAACGTGTATAGATATCCTAGTCTTGCATGGCCGACTACCCTTCGAGTCCCTTTGGTTTTTGCACTTCAGAGTCCGCGCGAAAACCAAAAAACCGCGCGGACGCCTCGCTCCTTCGGTTGCGCTCCAAGGATGTGATCTTTACTGGTGAGGTGACCTGGGCTGAGCTGTTAGGGCGAAGCTACTCGAGCTTGATGCGTTCCTTGAAACTTGGAGCATCGCCCGGCCGGTATCGCCCTACAGAATAGCTCTACATCCGTTGGAGCAACATGTTGGTCTCTTTGAGCATCAAAATAGCCTAGTCTGATCCGATGTCACAGCCTAGTCTTTGCATGTGTTCAGCGTCAAAAAAAGAGCATTGGATCGTTTGATGTCTCACTGCCAGTCCAGTCACCCGTCTTTTGGGAGCGTTAGATGGTTTCACTGCTTTGATCTGCGTTGAGTTTGCGTTGTGTGTGTCTCTTGTTCTTCTGGACGTGGTTCTGATCAGTTTGATAGGACTTTTCACTGTTTTGTTTCATTTGCTGCCAGATTTGGAATTTGCAGGGATGAAATTAGCAAGTTGGACAGTAACTTTGACTCTTGATTAGTAAAACCCCCCTCCCCCTGTAAAATCCATGAGAATCCTGATTAATTATAGTGAAATAATCAATAGGAATTAAAAGGACATCAATAGGAAGTAAAAGGAAATCAATAGGAAGTAAAA